GGATCAATCTGCGATCAAAGGTCATGCTTTTGTTTGTTGTGCTAGGAAAGGAGAGCCTCTCATCCTTCCAATAGTGTCTGAGATAAAACGTCATCGTAAAGTCCTGGGCACAGAGAAAGGGACCAGTGAGCACCAGGAGAGACCACGCTCAGATCATAATTTCATCATTATGAACTCACTAATGGCCATGCTGTTCGTGACTTGTCTATTATTATTCATATTGCAATTTCAGACAGGATGAAGCAAGTCTGTCATTATTCTTCACGTTCCTTCTCCATTCCTATTTCTGTCTTCTTCCCTTTCCATTCCTCCCTCACTCTCCCCCTTCTTCATCGCTTCCTTTCTTCACCTTCAATTTCCTACTTCTTTTTAAACCTGTTCCTATCATTGCAACAACATCCAGATTTCAACTCAGAATCCTATTTCCTTGGCCTCCTGAGTGCTGGAACTATAGTGTGTGCCACTGTATTATTATTTTTTAAATCTATATAAGTATTTGCACACTCTCTAGAAGCAAGTTGCCAGTGCTCTCAATTCGCTGTGGCTCTGGGATCTCAACTGGCATTGTGAACACTAGCTGAAAGACTATGCTGACGATAGATAAAAACCTGTGTCAGCATCCAGCTCTGAATGCTTCATGGGGCTGAACTGGTATCGCACAAGCCAGCTGTAAGACTATAAAGCTGGAGGATAGAAACCTGTACTAACATGACAGTAACAAAAAATAAGCAGACAAACATAAAGAACTTGAATTCTATGCGGTATTCAGATGTGACAGTTAATAATTTGGTTGGTGGAATAGAAATTTCTATCTTTGTCGGTGCTGTTGAGTCTGGATATAAATTATGTGTTTCACTTTTCTTAAATACATATCACTGTTCATAAATTGTTGACTCATGTTTCTCAACCCAAGTCCAACTTTTCTTGCACTTGTGTGTCTAACAGGACTTTGGCATTCATTTGTGAAAACAAAAGATCAATATCAGTCATTCCCAAGTAAGTTACCGATTGTTTGACCAGCTACATTGTTTTTCCTAGGTTCTGTAAGTGTACACTGGGTTATTGCTATGAATTAACTGTGAGGTTGGCTATATATGGCTGTGCATTTGAGTGAGGGCCAGTAACCAGCGCCATTCCTTCATCAGCATAACACTATTTCACAGCGACTTGTGTAGCTTACCAGGTGATCTGGCCTAATGGGCATATACTTGGAATCATATGCTTAGTTTGATCTGGATGGCAACTCAAAATTAAATTAATACAGGGGGCACTAAGATACAAAGTATACCCCCAAACTGCATTTTTCTTGGAGCTGGGTATCTGTTAAGAATATTTGTTATTACATGCATAATCGAAACAATGGAAACTCATGTAAGGAGGGCAGAAGAGACAAGATGGGGGGTTGGTGGGGAGGGTGGCAACTCATCTAGCCTGGCTCCAGGGACAAACCTGACTCGTGTTTCAACGGAATGACAATGGAAAGAGAAACACAAGGAGAGGCAAAAATCTGAGGATCAGGTTATCTGGGTTCTCTGCAGAAGCTCCTTGCACCTGGGACACTCAGTTTGCTTGTTGAATGGACTTGAACAGAGCAGCGGGTTGTAGCATCAGTTTATAGTATAGAGCTGGGCCAAAGGTTCAGCTAATCTTTGTAGGAGCCTTCTCTGTAGGGGAGCAGTCTTCCGGCTGGAAATGTTGGCCGAGGGGTAAGGCTATGCTCCACATTTTCCACGCATACTATTCATATTTCACACGTGGGACAGAAGGGAAGGTTTGCAATTTCCTTCTGACTCCAGCTCCCAGGGAGAAGGCTTTGCCATCACTCCGTGGGGCTGTCGCTCTGGGCTCACGTCAACAGCACAGTTACATGGGAATTCACTCAGGGCTTCTGCTCCCTATAGATGACGGCAGCCATTAGGTAAAATCGAGTAAACAAACAATGAAAATGAGTTTTGGAAAGGCACTGTATTTGACATGTAAGCATATTGGAAAAGGGCTCATCAAAAAACACAGGCCATATAAACAAATTAATACAAAACGAGTGGGTAAGAGAAATACGTCTGAAAACAAAGTATGGAAGTGCTCCTTCTTAGAAGCTGGGCACAGCATTAACTACTGTTGCAGTAAAACCTCCATAACGCTGAAAATCACTTAAAGGAAAATCTATTCTGAGAGTTACCTAGACAAAGAAAGTCCTTATACATTAAAAAGAGAAAATGAGATGGAAAAGGTACAGTTGGCACCTTTAAATCATAAAAATGTCTAAAACCAATAAAACCAGTTTAAAGAAGGGAAAATGGGTACAATGAAGTAAGTAACGTGGAGTAGAGACCCGTGAAAGGGTAAAAGAAAGACTGATAATAGATGATTAGTTTCAAATATTTTCTTTTTAAATTTCACATTTATTTGAAAATATTTATTTTGTATTAATATAATAATATAATTAATATAACATTTAACAGACATTCCACATACACTAATCTTGATACTTCATTTTCTCATTTTGAAGCTTTTAAATGTGTGTTCTCATGAAAATTTCAAAAGTTGCTTTTAGGTAGTTGTTAAGTAAATCCTTTTGATATATGAGCTGTAACATGTATAGTTATTTCTGTAGACATCAGTTTTGGATTTTCTTGTATCTAACGACTTAGTTTTTCTTTTGCTTTCTAATATACACACGTATGTATCTATCTTCATATGTGACTAAATAAAATAGTAATTTTAAAAGCAAAAATATTCTATGGAAATATAGGTATTACATTGTAAAATAAAACATTAAGCTGTCTTATTTTTTACAACACACTATGGGATAAGCAATTTTCTAAATTAAATGTGATAATCATGTTTTAAAATGTCCTATCACCTGATATTAGCCATTTACAGACAAGCAGAATTAATCTTAACCAAACCACCTGGAAATAATCTATAAAGCTTGGCCCCGAAGTCTATCATTTTATGAACATGTCCATCATTTTATGAGCAAGGCTTTGTGGGTGAGATTTCATAGGATGCAAACTGTACGGTTGTTTTTCTTACATCCTAGTTTTCAGGTGTGCCAGACTGTGACAGAGAGAAAATTTACCAATGATGTTTTACAGGAAGCCATAAATGAGAAACTGTGAGAAAGAAGCAGGGAGAAAAAGGAAGAGTGTAATCAAAGCATGGAAGAAGTGAATGGAAGAGAGACAGGCAAGCATAACTCCACTGTAATGCAAAGTAGGGCTTATTCAAAAAACAAATGATTTCTACCCTATTATTTCATTCCTTCCAGAAACAGATCAATACCCTGTGGGAATGCTCACCATATTGACCTCTGAAATGCTGTCGATGCTTTCAACCTGGACATCTATACCCACCGGCACCGGTGAACCTTCAGAAAGAAAAATGAATAATTTACTGATTATGATGCAGTATAATCATTTTGGACATCTTCCAAACTGAGAGAGACCATTGTTCAACAAGTGAAGGTGGTCTCTTTTCCCCAATGAATATATTTTTATTCTTCATTTCACCTGTTTTCTACTGAATCATTTATCATACATAATACACCCTTAAACATAACAGCTGAGGCTCAGGTGATAGTAAATGGTATTCCAGTCATCATGGCTTACTTTCTTGGAAAGTCTCAAAGAATTCTCTGTACAATATATTACAGATGTGGTGTTTCCAGTTTTGCCCTCTCTTTCTTTCTTTCTTTCTTTCTTTCTTTCTTTCTTTCTTTCTTTCTTTCCTTCTTTCTCCTCCCCTCTCCTTCCCTCCCTCCCTCCCTCCCTCCCTCCCTCCCTCCCTCTCTCTCTCTCTCTCTCTCTCTCTCTCT